TATTCAAATGTTGAAAGTTAGAGAATTTGGTAAGGGTTTAAAACCTCCTACTTATTATGAAGTGAGAGTATCTTTTTTGAAAAAAGCAGTTGATAGTATCCATGAAAATTTAGAGAAATAAAAGAGTGAATGGGAGAAGTGGGGCTGCACTTTAATGTGTGATGGATGGACAGATGGAAAAGGAAGATCTCTTACTAATTTTCTTGTTAACAGTCCAAGTTGGACTATTTTCTTAAAATCGGTTGATACTAGTAATGTTATCAAGGATGCCAAACAAATGTTTGAATTGTTGGATGGCATGGTGGAAGAAATTGGGGAGGATAATGTAGTGCAAGTTGTGACAGATGGTGCTTCTAACCTTGTGACAACTGAAAAAATGCTAGAGGAGAAGAGGACAAAATTGTTTTGGTCCCCTTGTGCAGCTCATTGTTTAGATTTGGTGCTTGAAGATATTGGACAACTTCTAGTATTCTTTAACACAATTTCAAATGCCAAAAAAATTACAACTTAAATATATAGGCATACATGAGTCCTTAACTTGTATAGACAATATTCTAAAGGAAGAGAATTAGCAAGACCAGCTGTAACAAGGTTTGCAACTTCTTATCTTACACTAAATTGCATTATGCAACAAAAGAATACTCTTCGATCTATGTTTGCTTCAGAAGAATGGGCTTAAAGTTCTTATGCTAGTAAAAGTGAAGCTAAGCAAGTCATGAATTTAGTTTTGAGTGATTCTAGATTTTGGAAATCCATTCAGTATTGCTTAAAGTGTATGATTCCTCTTGTAAAAGTATTAAGGCTTGTAGATGGTGATTCAAAACCAGCCATACCATATATTTATGAAGCAATGGATAAAGCTAAAGAGTAAATTGCTAAAAACTTTCAAAATCAAGATACAAAAAGGTGTGGAAGATTATTGATACTAGGTGAAATTTACAGCTACATAGGCCTCTTCATGCAGCTGCCTATTATCTTAATCCTAGATAAATAAAGTCATCATCAATCTCTTAAATTTTTTGCACTATTTTAAAGATTGAGTAACTTAAGTTGTATGTTTTATGTCTTCTTTAATTAGGTTTCACTATGACAAAAAATTCAATCCGGATAGTGAGGTTTTATTTGGCTTGTATGAAACCATTGAAAGAATGGTTTCAGATAGAAAGACAAGATTTTCTATTGATCAACAACTTGAAAAATTCAAGATTGTTAAGGGACTTTTTGGAATGAACATAGCAAAAGATACTAGAGACAAGAAGCAACCTGGTAGTTTTAAATTAAATTTTTCATATTTTAAAGTTCTTTCTATGACATACATCTTATTTTTGTTTTAATAGGACTTTGGTAGGAAAGTTATGGTGGAGAGTGCAAAGAACTAACAAAAGAAACTATGAGAATTTTAAGTCTCACATGTAGTGCTACAGGTTGTGAAACAAACTGGAGTACATTTGATCAAGTGCATACCAAGAGAAGAAATCTCTTGGAACAACAAAGATTAAATGCACTTGTTTTTTGTTAAATACAATCTTCAACTTGATATGAGACAAAAGGCTAAAGAAGAGAAAGAAAAAACTTATGATCCTATATGCTTGTTTGATATTGAATCAGATAATGAGTGGATTACTGAAAAAGAACACCCTTGCTCACCAATTGATACTTCTTGGATGGATATACATGAGTGTTTCACTTTTGATGAAGGAGCTCTAAGCAAAAAAAGAAAGAGAGGTATTTGTTTAATGAAAAAATAGTATAATTATAGGTCCAATTGATGCTTAATGCTTTTATTTTATTTTATAGGTCTAAGAAATTTAAATGCTAAGGCTAATAAGAAGGAAAAATTTATAGTTGGAGATGAGAATCAAATTGAAGAGAATCAAAAGATATTTGAAGATGGGGAGGAAGGGGAGGAACAAGAACAAGAAGAGTCTTTGCCATTGAAAAATGAGGATGAACTAAATGATATTGATTTTGGAGAAGATGAATAGATTATATATTTCGAATTTAGACCTATTGAATACGTTTAAGGTCTAGAACTAGAAATAGTGACTTGTTATTGGTTGCTATTATTTTTTGAGGGTATATATGACTAATTTATGCAGTCATAATCTTTTTTTTTGTGTCGTTGTAGCTGATTTGAAAGTATATATAAATAGATGATTTATATAGTTACAACTTTTGATGTCATTGTAACTGATATGCCTTGAATCTTTGTATTATGTTTTATTTTATTAATTATACAATGAAGGATTTGATTATAAAGTGTCACCATATGAATGTATTTAATTTTTCTTTATATCAAAATATTTTTGATTATATAATAATGGTCATGAATCTTATGATTTACGATACAATTCCATTCACGATTCACAAAATAGGATTTCTGATTCACAATTTGAATCTCGATTTAACTACTATGTTCGGGAAGGCATTCTGTTGATGAGGTAGGTAGCAGAGAGGACAGTTTCTCCCCAAAATTGGTTTGGTACATTTGTAGCTAACATGAGAGATATAGTCACTTCTAGGAGATGTCTATTCTTTCTCTCGGCGACCCCGTTCTGCTGAGGGGTATCAACACATGAACTTTGATGTATGATTCCATGTTTCTGAAGGTAGGAATTGAGTGCAGAGTGATAGTACTCTCGGCCATTGTCACTCCTAAGCACCTTAATTTTGCTTTGAAATTGTGTTTCCACCATAGTATGAAACAGTTCAAATATTCTGCCAAGTTCTGATTTTTTCTTCATTAGGAAAACCCAAGTGATGCATGTGTGATCGTCAATGAAGGTGACAAACCATCTAGATCCAGTGATATTGTTTACCCATGATGGTCCTCATATATCACTATGAATTAAGGAGAATGGTTGAAAGGGTTTATAGGGTTGACGCGGGTAGGAGTTGTGGGTATGTTTGGACAATTGGCATATTTCACATTGAAACAACTACTGATTTTTATTAAATAATGTGGGAAACATTTTTTCTTAAATACATAAAATTTGAGTGGCCTAGTCGATAGTGCCACAACATTACAGAATTTTTACTATTTGGAGGTATTGTTGCACAAGAGTTGGCCTTGGGTTTCGCTTCTGACGCTTCAGCTTGGAGGAGGTAGAGTCCAACACATTCTTCAGCATACAACATTGCCAATTATCTTCCCCGACTCCAAAATCTAAAATTCACATAGGTTAGGGAAGAATTTAGCGACACATTTCAAATCTCTTGTCAGTTTGCTAATGAACAAAAAATTACAGTCAACTTTAGGCACATAGAGGACTGAATTCAAGGTTATTTGTGAAGTAATAAATGAACCTTTACCCATGACCTTAGAAAGAGTCCCATCAGCAATCCAAACTGTGTAATTATTGAAGCATGGAGAATAACTTTTAAACACAGTTAAGTCTCCAGTCATGTGATCTAAGGCTCCTAAATCAATGATCCATGACTTTGGTTTTTCTTTGCTAGTATTTAGAGCATGCAAGAAATTACCTTTTTGTGCTACTGCAGCTATACTGATTATTTGTTGGAGAATTTTTTGTAGTGCTTCCATTTGCTTCTTGTTGAATGGAGATGAGTTAGAATATACCTCAGCTATGTTACCTCTGCTGTCCAGGTTTTTAGTCTGTTTTGCCTCTGAAAGCCTACCATGAATGATCCAGCAGGTGTCCTTCATGTGACCCAGTTTCTTACAGTGATCGCACCAAGGCCAATTTTTCTTTTGAAATGGACGAGGCTGGTTCCCCTTTGTTGCCATTGCTGAGCCTTTAATGGGTGGGGCTACACTTGACTTCCCAAGCATCACTTTCCCCTACTCTCCTCCTTTCTCACTTCCGAAAATACTTCCCGGATTGTTTTAAGAGGTTTGATTCGAAGGATTCTTCCCCGAACTTCATCAAGTTCTGTGTTCAGCCCCAATAGAAACTTGTAGATCCTATCTTTCTCCACCAATTCTTTATAGTTCTTCTGATCCTCAGTACAACTCCATTGAATGTCTTCATATATTTCCAGTTACTACCAATGTCGACTGAGTGTATTAAAATACTCAATGATGGAGAAATCACCTTGTCGCAGGGCATAGAGTAAGCTCTTGATCTCAAATACTGCAGACGTATTGTCCACATTTGAGTAAGTTTTCTTCACTGCATCCCACGTCTCCTTGGTAGTGTCATAGTACATGAAATTTTCTCCAATTTCATTAGTCATGATGTTGAACAACCATGACATGACTAAACCGTTTTCCATTTGCCATTTATTGTGGCTAGGGTCATCCTTTTTTGGACTCTTAGAGTCTCCTGTGATGTAACCTTCCTTCCCTTTTCCCTGAAGAAAGATCTTAACAGATTGCACCCATTGAGGGTAGTTCTGGCTATTCAACTTGTGACCAGTGATAGGAAGAGCGGGTCCTTCGACCAAACTGGTGGCCAAACCTTCTGCCTTATTCTCTCCCATGGTTGGCTGTGCTAGGTTAGGGATGGTTCAGATCGTGCTCTTATAACATGCAGAAAATATGAAGTATATTTTTCTTATTTGGAAAAAATACAAAAGAGGTATAAATAGAATACAAGGGAATAAAACTGTACATTTAATCTATCCCTGAAAATTAGGGAAATAATTCTCTCTATAAATGCTGTACCTAAATAAGAAAATAAAACTGATCTTATTACCATTAAATCCTATTATGAGCTGTACAAATCAGAATTGGATGATTTTGATTGATATGTGCTGATCTCCGACAGATTCTGATTGATATGCGTTGATCTCCAACAATATGTTTAAGTATAGTTTTACATAGTTGGTAGGATCTTACAATCCTACAATTTATGATCTTTTACCCTCCTCCCAATCCTAGGTAGGATCCTGATTTTGATAACATTGAATAGGACTATAGGAGTTACCTAATAAAGGATATAACTAATCTGAAGATAAAAGCAATTGTATCCTCTTGAAGTGAATCAAATTCGAGACCATTCTGAATTACTAATCAACAGAGAAAAATGTAATTATGAACCCATTCTATAGGAATTCTCCTTCCTTGATAGTTTAATCATTTAATGCAAACATAAGCTTCAATCTATATCTGAGGAATCTGTCCTAAATTGATGACAGGGGTAAGCTTCATAGGTATTAAGTAAGTATGATAATGATTTATAAACGTATACAGGGAGGAAAAAAAATATTACACCAGAACTGATGGCTAGGTCAGCAATATAAACATTTACTAAAATGTGTATAAATGATTTAGAACAATTACTGCACCAACATCTGATGGATGCTCCAGTGAACTTCAAGTGATTATAGGTCCTTAACTTGTCAGCCACAAATGCATTCAGGGGAGAACATGCAGGGTAAGATCCTATCAAAGGATAGGTCAACACCTGGTGCCACAATCTCCATTCAAGCAGCACCTTCATATTAAGGCAAATACCATTACAAACTCATACTAGAGCATCAGAAGCACAATTGATACCATAAATCCTCCCACCCCCTCCCCTTTGGCAGACTCCAAAATGCCACTATTTTGTCATGATGAAAAGCCCTGAGGAATGAGTAAATTATTTGTGGGCATAAATATTGGCTTAACTGTGCAAATTGACAACAATATGTACCAAGAACTGAGTGTCAGAAATTGGCATGATAAAACATTTCTGAACCACTTCAATCTTCATGCCTGCAAGGGGTGGTGAACACTGAAAGTAATCTAATTTGATGAAGTCAACTTTGGTTTCTGATCACAACTCTTTCAGAAAGCAATAATCCAAATCCAACAACAAATTTAGTGTGGAAGTATCCGCAGATTGTACTTCCATGGTTTTACTTAAAGTAAGGAATTATATCCTTAATACTGCATACATTTCCATGTTATACTTCCTTATCCTGCTCAATTAGGAAGAGATGTCGTACCCATATCACTGAAAAATCAATCAAGTTCAACTTCTAAACAGCAGTCAGTAAAGAATTCTTGTTGTCACACAGATCAATGTTTCCTCTACCGCAGAGTGCCAAAAATTTATCATAAAATTGCAACAAAGGACACTTATATATCAAGTTGGAGCCAAGGTATGCATCTTTGAGAAAGACAGTACTTCTTACTCCTTTATTAGTGAGGTAAAATATCCCTTGATGCTTTATCAAACAAAGCAACAACTGAGACGGCAAAAGACACTCAGCATGAAATGCATCCAACTGTGCAGATGACATCCTCTTCTCCACAGTCAAGCTGAGAAGCTCATGAATCACTGCCACAGCCCGTTTTCGAGCTTTTGGATCAGCAGCATCGAATCTCCTCGCATTCAAATAAGGAGAAGGAAACTCCAACTTCTGCCACCTCTCAAGCTGCTCAAGGTAACCAACGTTTGGCCTAAAACCAGCTGGAAAATTAATTTTGAATGCAAATGGACCAAGATAGTTCCCATCTCTTGAAATCTTCACCTTCCTATGATCTCCATTTGCCTTCTGATTCTCAACACCTTCCTGCGCCAACCTAACTTGTGTTTGAATTAAATCATTTTGTGTTCAAAATAATTTATATCTAAATCTATTCAACGAGTTAGGAAAAACACTTTTTTCATGAAAAATAATCACTTTCTTTTTCAAAAGTTTCTTTAGGAAAACTGCAAAAAAATAAAAATAAAAACTATTATTGAAAAAATAAGCTAATCCAAACTTAAAATTTAGAATTTTTTTACCTCAAAGTTACACAAATCCAAACATGTAACTAGCAGCTTGTATAAACAAAAGCGATTCTTTTAGTAACATCAATTTAGGTCCTAAAACAATCTAACATAATTATAACAGTCAATTACTCCTTAATTTTAGGCATCAAATAGATTGTTGAGCAACAATGTTAAGGACCAAAGTGATTGATAATTAAGTGTTCGCTATGTCAAAGATGAAATTCACCCATAAATACCAAAGCCAGGAACTACATTTGCATTTTTTCGTAACGCCGAATTCAAATTGACCAATAGTTTCAATTTCAGATACTAACTAAATTAACGTTTTTCTTATCGCAATTTTCTCAAATCTTAAGGAATCCAAACAAGTACAACTTGTTTTTTATAATAAAAAAAATCCTATAATTTAACAAATCCCGAGACATGTAATTGGAAAATGAAAAAAAACAATGATTATTTCATAAAAATTGAGTGAGCTCCAAACACGTACCTAGCCTCTCTAGCAGTGACAGTGAAAGAGGAATCCCAATCCTCCAACACTAGACAATCCCTTCCACGGAAGGGCCGAACCGAGAAAAACTGTGGGTACTTGGGAATCAGACACTCTTTAAAATCAGAGGGCAAGCCCAACTCAGGCGCAACGAGCTCCACAGTTTCAAGCTTCACTCTGCAATCAACGCACAGCATGAGCAGTTTCCTCAAGTTATTAACCAAGATGGGTTCCATCGAGGCCCAGGCCTGGGCCTCTTCGTGGGCCAGGCTGCGGGCACGTTGGGTGAGGGACACGGCAGGGGGTGTCCCGGTGACGCGGAAGACGGAGGGGTGTTTTTGAATGAGGCCCATGAAGGCCCATTTGCGGACGAAGCCCACGTTCTTCTCGAGGTCGCGAAGGAAGAGGGGAGTGTTGTTGGGTTGGGATTGGATGAGGGAAGTTAGGTGGAGAATCATCAATGGCTTCTTGCGAAGATCCATTACTCTGTCTAGTTCAGGGACTCTGTGGTACGTTTTCTTCTTCGGTCTTCTTCCACCGCTTGATTTGTGCCTCATCAACAAACAACGGGCTTTTGTGGTGCCAATGGGAGTGGCGCGGCGAAGCATCGCGGAGGGTAAGGATGTTCCAAAGGCTTGTGTTGTTGCTGTGAGCCTCACAGCCAAAATTTCAGAATGGTCACCGTCTCACACATTATACCCAAAAATAACATATTTTAAATGAAATGATTCATTCTTCATGACATGTGATTTTGTTTTCTTTAATATTTTTTTTAAAACAAATTTAATTTTAATTGTTTATAATTCTCTTAATTTAGTTTTATTTGCTTTAGTCAACAGTCACAGAACATCAATAAATTATTATTAAAATATTGTTTTAAAATTTTATAAAATATGTTAAGTTTAACAATAATTGTGTAATATATTTTTAAATTTTTATTTAAATTTATTAATATTTATAAAATACATAAAAGAATATTAATGTTTAGTAAGTGAAACTATATATATTTTTATTTTTTATTATAAAAAAATCATCTTTATTATATATTAATAAAATAATAAAAATAATATTTTTATTATTTTCAAAATAAATATTTCAAAAAATAAAAATATTTATAATTGAAAGTAAAAATAAAACTTTTTAAATAAAAAATCCTTAATTTAACCTTTCTTGATAATGATAAAATTTAAATGTAATATTGAAAAAAATTATCTTATTTTAAATTAAAAGTAAAAATTTTCTTTTAAAATTACTGTTTTTAAAAAGATTTATTATATTAATTATTAAAATACAACTCTTATTTTAATTAAAAATATAATGCTAAAAAATTTATTATATCGTTCCTAACTTTATTTTATATGAACTTAATTATATTTTTTATTTTTATAAATATGAACTGTAATAAGTTTTATAAAATTTAATATTTAAAAATTTAAAAAATTAAAATTTAATTTTTTAAACTTCTTCAATTAAGTGTTAAACTAACTGATAATAAAAATTAAATCTTAATTTATTAATTTTTAAAAACTAAATTCTAACAAAATAATTTATAAAAACTTTTTTATAAAATGCATTATATTTATAGAAAACAAAAACATAATTAAGTCTTTTATATATATAATTTTAGAAACTTATATTTTTTTTAGAGTTATGATTTTTGTTAATATTATAAATGCATTTTATTTAAAAGAATTTTAAAAATATTATTACAAATGTGACAAAGATATTATCTTTATGCAAATTATAGTTTCTACTTCTTCTATAGATATTTTAATGAAAGACAATTAAAAAATAATTATAAAAATTAAATATATTAATTATATGAAATTATTTTAATATCATTTATGCCAAATTAAATAATTTAACATTTAGAACTATTGTATATGTGTTAAATTAAACATACGAGAATAATGGCGCAAATTATAATTAAACATGTATTATATATCTTTATGTGTAATTAGTACAAATAATAATTCATTTCATTCTAGTATAATCGATGTATTAAATACGATTAACGCATGTTTCAAAATTTTTAAAACACATAAAAGTTTTAAAAATATTTTAATTTTAAATAAAAAAACCCTGAATACCCCTTATCACATGTATAAAAACTGATTTAAACAAAAAATGATCAGACCCTCAACCTTTAATATTATACATATGAGTGGCATATCTACTTGTCACTTTCCATCCACGTAAGCTATGCGCAAGCAGCAATGACCAACACAATAAACTTATTAATATTAAATGAAAAATTATATTGATAAAAAGTTATTTAATAAAAGCGAAAAATTATAAAAAGTAAGATAATTAAAATGAAAAGGTAAAAAAAATATAAACAATTAAATAAAAGCATAGATAAAAATTAACGATCAAATTAAAACAGGAAAAAAAAATTACGTTTTCAAGGAATATGTTATTGAGTATGACAATAACTTAATTAATCCACACTTCGGGTAGTTATTAACATTCATATTTATGAATAACTCAACACTCTTAATTTTTTTTAATATACTTTTCAATATAAATAATAATTTTTTAAATTTATTTTCAAATGTATGATATAAAATTTTATTTTAAAGAATTTATTTAAAAACTTTTAAATAAAATATCTACAAAGTATTAATCTTACTAAAAAAAGGTTAATAACATATTTTTTTAATATGCTTATAGATTAAAATTTAAAAAAAATAATAAAATTCATATAATTTTTGTAATTTAATAAATTATAATTAATAACTATAAAAATATGTTAAAAAGCTTTTAAACGTGTGTTACTACTTAATTGAAACCAGAACTAATTTTAGGTTGGCCACTTGCCTCAACAACTTGGTTGAATCCCCGGCCGCACTAAATATGGGCTATATATTAAGGGCTCAAAAGGAAAGGCGAAGCAATCTACACACACAACATCTCAAGGTATTTTCAAAGCCCATCTCCTTCTCCAATGGCCTTTATTCCTCAGTTCTATTCAAACTACACATTCCCTATTGATCTCACAGCTCTAGTGGTGCCTCCTCTCACTGACAATTCCTCAGTTTTGGGCAATCCAATCATGTGGGCTCAAGATAACAGCTTCAGCACTCCTGTTCATCATAATGGGGCACTTGATTGTCATCTTGTGGATTCCATGCCTTCTTCTGCTTGGCTGCCATCTTTCTCAGAGCAAAATGGGAGTGTTTCAGAATACAAAGTGGGCTTCTATGGTGCCATTGCTGGGTTTCAGAATTTTAGTGATGGATGCCACTCTCAATTTGCTGATTTTGAAGAGGATATTAAGCCACCTGCTTATTCTAATACTGCCACCGAAAACTGGGTATGCTTATTAATATTCATGTCCAATTAATTCCTTCTTTTACTTCCTTGGTTAAAGGTACAGTGCATAGCTTCATGTTAGGCACTGCAATTTGTTTTTATTTTCAATATTAATTATTAATCTCATATTAAGATTAATTCTTAATTAACAATAAGAATTATAAATATTTAATCTTATGATATTTATAAAAGATTAAAATTAAAAAACAATTAACGGTCAAATGACCAATTAAAAAGGATACATGTGTTCTTTTAATTCATTATTCTTATTTCTCTTGATAATCAATAAATGGAAAACCAAAACATTTCTGCATTCGAGTTCTTGCATTACATATTTAAGGACACTTCTTTTCTTTCTTTTTGATGTATGCTAAGAGCCTAACATAAAGGTAGAAAGATATTTTATTAGATTTCATCATTGAAATTTATTACAGGGACTTGAAGGTAATCAAGCGCCAGCTGGTGAAGAACCTAACATAAAGGTAGAAAGATACTCAGAAGAAGAAAGGAAGGAAAGAATTCTACGATATTTGAAGAAAAGAAATCAAAGGAACTTTAACAAAACCATCAAGGTACACATACACTTACCAAGAAATGGGTCATGACCCTTTTCTCCATTTTCTTTTGTCCTTTAATAAAAGATGGAAATCACACTCACATTGACCAATTTCACAGTATGCATGTCGAAAAACCTTGGCTGATCGGCGGGTAAGAGTTAGGGGAAGGTTTGCAAGAAACAATGAACTCTCCGAGGAAGACATGGCAAGGAAAAAGCATGAGAATAATCACAAAGAGGACTTTTATGGTGATGATTCAATCCAGTTACAGGTAAAGTTCATTATAATGTTTATAAGGATATAAAATGATAAACAATATGAATCTATGATAATGTCATGTCACATCGAGCAATATTTAATAGGTGGCAAGAAATACTTTTCAATTTAACCATAAATAATTAAAAAAAATGTTATTCAATTTTAATTTTGAAAATGTCCTCTCCCTCTCCGTCAAATTCTTAATACATAGTAATTCTAAATTTGAAAAATAAAATATATTAAAAAAACTTGAGAGCATCCTAATTAAATATTGAATTGGTAAACTTTGCAGTTACAGAATGATGATGACGATTGGCTGCAAGAGGCCATGGCAAGTTTGATCTATCTATCTCATTCTTCACCGGATGATATATAGCAAGAATTAATTTGAAGTATAATATAAAGCAGATGTGGCTCTTTCTCAAGCTTTTTACATTTAATGCAGGACTCAATAGAAAACCATGTTCAGCATATAAAGTCAATTCTTATATGCTAATTTGTTCCTTTTGATAATCAAGCACGTAGATGAAACTTTGATTGCATGGCGGTGTAACCAGTTCATGGGCATCTTTGCTAAGAGAATTGGATGACCCTAGTTTGACTGAGTACATGTTGATTGACACATATTAAGATTCCATATGACATTATGTTTGAATAGACAGAAATATTCCCAAAAAAAAACATAGCTTATGCCTCAAAATTCATGTATTTAACTAGATTGTGTCTATTATTGTAATTACGTTAATTCACTCGTTGTGTTGATTATTACTGAAATTCATTAATCAGAAATTATATATTCTAATCCGCAGACTATTGGTTGGAAACAGGTAAAATATTCCTCTAAAATGATTATCATTCAAGTGAGCAAATAAAAATGTATTTATTCTTAAATCATAGTACATTAAGTTCTCTAATATACTTCAAAATCAATGATGATATATTATTATATATATTCAGTTATAATGTTTATTTTTATTTATTTTAATATTGAACCATTAATTCATTCCAAAAGAAATCACAGGTAAATGCAAGCCAATATAGACTATATAATTCTTCGAAGAAAATTTTAATTTGGACAAAAAAAAATTGATGATTGATTTTATTTTTCAAAATTAAACACCACTAAATACACTAATCTTTATATCAATATTGCGAACCTTTATTCAAGCTATGCATCGATTATGAACTTTTATTATCCAAAGTATATAAATAAATTTTATGCATACAAGAAAGCGATGGGACAGAAATTTGGAAACTGATGCCAACTTGAGTTTTTATTTTATTTTATTTTCTTAATAACATTTTGAGTGATGTGTAGTGAATAGCCTTCCCATTCTATATTATAGCTATCATAGCTATGCATGGGAATGAACACAAAAGGGAATCTTTTTTTTTTTCATTTTGTATGTTGGTGAAGAGAATATGAAAAAAAAAAAAAGTCAAACCTGAAGCACTTGAATAAAAGGAAAAAAAAAGGGGGGGGGGGGGGTTATGCAAACCATATTAATATCCTGCATATAAAATATTCAATGAAAATATTATTTTAAAGCTTTATACTTTATTTTCAGAAACCCTTTTGCACTCCCTACGCTTCGGAAAAAACCTAAGCTGTTATTCTATTTAATAATAAATTCCTAAATATCACAAAGTACGTCAACGTTTTCCTTTATATTGTGCTATCTTGCAGCTCGAAATAAACCAATTAAAGGATTTATTAAATTATTAATTGGTCATTTGAAATTTTGTTAGTTTCCTCATCGTAAAAGAAAGTATTTAGAATCTGATGTTACTGAATTACAACCTGTTAATGTGTTTAGGAGTGCTAGAAACACACATTATTAATTTTTAATTTATTAAATTAGGATTAAGTAAAAGTAAGACTTTCACAAATTTTATAATTTTTTTATAGAAATTTTATCTAATAATTAAGAATGTACTGCTAGCCATTTTTTTTAAATATGTTTCAAGCCTTCAACTGCATAGATAGATAGAAAGAATATGAATTAACTTCAATAATGTCAGATAGACTAACTGTTATATCATTAATAATTCAATTTAAAATGATATTTTACTTCTTGTTAAATTCTAACTACATATCTAAATCACTTATATTTGGTTTTGGTTGTGTGTGTCTTTCTACCTTAGCTTTTAAGTTGTTGCTGTTCTAAAGGTCTAGCTTCAAAAATATTTTGTAGTGGTCATCTCTAGTATTAGTTGCAATTTTTTTTGAAGTTTTAATAAACAATTCAGCTAATTTTTTTGTGAACCTTTTATCTATATCACAAACTCACGAGAAAGAAAAAGAAAAATACATATTGCTAACTCTATTTCCTCTTTGTTAGAACCATCCTTGTTTGGAGACTGTTGATCTCTTAAAATACAGACTATTTTGATTCCTAAAAATTTTAGTAATATTACAGAATTTAAATACACACTATCTCTTTTTTATAAAAATTGGCTTTTGATAAAGTGGAAAATTGAAAAATCGTAAGCACCATATAAAAGACTCTCTTATGCATGTTTAAAGAACTTCTAAATATTAGAGTCAAGTGTAAATTAGTCTCATTTGGAAATGAGACGTGAGCAAGTTAGAAGTCTTTAAGAAAATGAACTTATGTACTTATTACTTTAAAGTTTTTGTGTTGCATTGTAGTGTTTTATCCCTTGTGAGACTCCCTATCTAAAAGTCTTACCTTCAACAATAATATCAGAACTAGGTTAATCTAGGTGATCGGCTCAGACGAGTAAATGAGCCGTGGTAGAGAGAACTGACAGTGTAACATCCATGGTTAGTGTGAGAGTACACCATAGAGAAAATAGTGATACTAGATGAACCCTAGTAGAAAGTTAGTGATACCCACGTAGAAGAGAGAGAGCAAGAGTAGATGAGTTATGATAGAGAAAGTCGACAATATGGCACCCATAGTTAGTGTGGGAGTGTACCTTAAAAAAAATTGTGATATTAGATGAGCCTTAATAGAGAGCTAGTGGTACCCATGTAAAAGAGAGATAGAGTAAGAGTTTTTAAAGAGATAGACCATATAATTCTTGTGAGATTCTCTACCTAAAAACTCTATGCCTAACACTAAAGATCATCTAATAGATCTCTTAGAGATCATCTAAAAATCCTTGCTACTAATATTTTTTTTATATTTTATTATTATAAATATTATTAGTCACTAATTCAATCTCTATTAGCCACAAATTTTTTTCGATCACTAATAGATTATTGTAAATTGAGCAAATTAAAATGAGTACAAATTACAAAGCCAAATTAGCAAAACATTTTGTTCAATCTTGTTACTTTCTAAAAGTTTTGTTGTTGTTATTATTGCCCGTATATCTTAAGATAACTCTAAATTTATTTTTTTTGTACATGAGAACACAGCTTGAAGAGACTATTGAGTTGATCTTGTAACTTTCATGCTGTAGTGGAAATCTTAATCCATGTATTAAGTACACGTAGCTTTCGGTGTTTTGAGAGTAAACCAACATAAATTTATTATATCTTTTTTCTTTCTCTTCTGCCTTAACTTATTTTTATTATTTACCATCTTTTATAGACATACGTTCAACTCCTTCCGATGTGTTCTTATCCCTTTTCGGTCTTCATGTTTTGTTTTGCAGCAAAATCAAAATAAATATAAAATAAACCAAATCATAACTCTGCTCCTTATGTGACTTAAGTAGGTCACATAAAGTTACAAAAATGGAGGCTAACGCATACTTGCTTAAAACATGCTCCTTCAATCGCCTATATGTGGGCTCCTTGGTACCGCATCATAAACTTGCAACATCTTATATATGCTTGTTTATGGGTGTCATTTTCGTGGTTATATTTGCCACTCACTGTCATCATGTTCAATCAAGACTTTTAACTGACACAAATCATGGTTGCTACAGTTGAGTGTTGAACATATCATGATCTCTAACACCTTTCAGTGATAAGTTTCAAATTTGTTTTACAGTAACACTAACAAATCACAGTCACAGAATAAATGCCATTAACAATATACTAAAAAAGTAGCTGAAAGGTGAGATGTGTGTTAAAAAAATAGATATAATGAAAGGTCAGAAATCTTGGAAACCAAGTTGTTGATGCTATATTTAGCGCACACAAGTAAAGAAACTTGTGTATCATACATAAGTCGATGTTGCAGCAACAGTAAGTTATCCAAATTATTATTATTAGTTATTAGTCTTGATATCAAATTTTACTTAAAAGATATAATTTAACCAATATATTTTTATATACTATACGGATACTTAAAATAATTTTTTTAAATAATGAACTAAAAATATATCATATAGTTATTTTTAAATTTAATAAATTTATAAATTATTAAAAATTGATATTGTAATTATTAATAAAAATATTCTATTATATTAAAATTAAATGAAGTGATTCATTTTAAATAAAAATTATAAATATTCAAATTTTAAATTAATATTAAATTAAAAAATATTTAATGTAGAAAGAAAATCACTAAACATGGTAAAAATGAAAAACCAACTATAAAAGCGCTCTCATTTGAGAAAGGTTCGAAATATGTTTTCGTTTAAAAAATAGTATTTATAAATTATATATAGAGTTTGATAATTAAATTTTTTATGGTTGCTATATAGAAAAGGTTAACTTGCATGTATATGTAGGTAAATATTTTAACTTTCAAATTTAAATATAAATTATTTCAATTAAATTTAAATTTTATTTATTTATTTAGAAGATGTACCAAAATCCGTTAAGATAAAATGATGAAAGTAAATGCATACTTTTATTATATTCTTTAACATCTTTACATTGTTGGAGTTTGTCGTGTTATTACTATCTATATTCATTTTTAAGGACTATTTATAATCATTATATGCAATAATTTTATGTTAATGGATATTTATAAATAATAAAATTTATGAAATTTAACTCAATAATATCTACATATAAATTAATAACAGTTTTATTATCTTATTATTAATACGTCTTTATTATATAATTAATGTATTCATTATTACATATCTCTAAAACAATATATTATCTTATCAATAAAAAATATAAAATTAATTTCAAAATAATGTAATTATTACTAAGATTAAGTTTTACTTGAATGCTTCAAAATTTAATCCCATTCATTTGAATTACTTTTTTTTCTTTCATTTAAAAAGTAACTATTTTATTTCTTTCATAAATTTTACCATTTCAATATACAATAATAATAATTTCACTCATTTTGTATTTTTACAAATAAAATCAAATTAATTAAATAAATATCAATTACACAAAACAAATACAAATAAATTTAAAATAAAATAAAACTATATTTTAACAAAAAAATAATGAATAATTTTATTACATATTTAATTTAACAAACAATACTAAGTAATTTAATATAAATTAATTATAATGTAAATTATAAATGTTAATAAATAATACCAACATAACCTCAATAACTTTCTCAAAGTTTTTATTCAATGTTTCTAAAAATGAAAAATTAGCATGTACATATAACAAAAAACAAAAAATAAAAAATAAAAAATAAAAAACTGCACCTATATAAAAGAAATTAAAAAATAATCACACGTGTCACTGTTTCAGTTACTCTTATCCTATAGATGATTATATTTAATTTTTTTAAAAAAATTGTAATTTTGCCACCAGAAATACAAAATTTATGGAATCTTTGCATTTAAATTTCGCATTTCATGTAGCAAAATTGACGGGATCTTTGCTTTTTCGTTGTTATTCTGAGGTA